CCGCGGCGGCGAACGGCTGAGCCTATCCCAGCGGCCGTAGCAGCTGCGGGAAAGTTTAAAAATGCCAGCAGAACAGGAAATCAGGGGAAGCCGGAGAGAGAGAGTACGAGCGGGTTGCCTGGCCCCCAGCTGGAGGCTGGGGGCCAGGGCTGGGGGCCAGAGGCTGGGGCTGGAGGCAGAGGCTGGAGCCAGAGGCTGGGGCAGGCTCTGCGGCTCCAGGGAACTGCTCCACTCCCCCGCTTCACCTCAGGGAGCAAGGAGGCATGTGGCGTCAGGGCTGGGGGACACCATGAGCCTTCTCACTCACTGAGGCAATGTGGGGGAGCGGAGCAGTTCCCCAGAGCCAAAAGAGCCCACACCAGGCCCCCGCCTTGCTGAGAGCTTACCTTAAGCTCCTCTCCTGGTGCATGGCCTTGCAAAGGCTGTGCACGGCCAGAATTTTAGTTGTGCGTGGCCACGCACACACATACCTTAGAGGGAACGTTGCATGTGGGTGATCGCCACTCACCACCCCCACCCTGCTCGCCGCCAAAGGCAGAAGTAGCGACAGACCTGATCCTTTTTTTCTTTTTTTTTGGCAGAAGTTACTCATGGCTTCGGGTAAGCTGCCAGCAGGCTGAGTTCATCCTGAGCTGTGTGGGGCCCCGGTCCTTCCCTCTGCAGTGGCGCTACCCTATGGGGCCACCTGGCAGACTGCTAGTGGGCCAAGTGCTACTGCAGCTCAGAGGCAGCACCTGGCTAGATTCAACTGTTCCCCGAGCCTGCCTGCTAGAAGCCTGCTGCATGCTGCTTCCAGTAGGATTGGTCTGGGTGTTGCCTCAAAGCTGAGGCAGCACCTAGCCTGATAGCAGCCAACCCCATCAGCCCTGAGGGGTGCTGCCACTGCAGAGGAAAGGACCAGGGCCCCCTGCAGCTCAGGGGCCACTCAGTTTGCCAGCAGCTCACCACCTTCCCTCTCCTCCCCAAGCCATGGGCAGGCTCTGGCTCTGAAAAAAAAGAAAAGAAAAAAAGCAAAAAAAAGGGGAAAAAAAGGCCTGTAACATGATGGAAAATTTGAAACAGTTTCATTCTCAGGGTTTTATTCTATGCCCCACCATTTCAATTTAGAGTGCATAGAATAAAACCCTGGGGATTAAACCCCCATCATGTGTACAAGTGCCCTTAGTGACTAACGAAGCATGTAGAAACCCAAGTGCTCCTAGTGAATATACCCCTCCAGAGCTTCTTTATAAATAAAAAATTTGTTAGGAAGACACATGCTCATATTTTTCCTTTGTGGGTCATCTTTATCATATGCCTTTGTTTTATAAATGTATAGCCCATTATAGATTGCAAAATTATCTGCAACATGAAAGCTGCTGTATTTACATTTCTATACACTTTATTAAGAAATTGATTGAAATTTAGTAAGTTGATTAAAAGGTTAATTGCATGTAATAGAAATCTATTGACTTCAGTGGGCTTTAGATAAGACTAGTAACCCAGAAAGTATTTTTGTCATATCAAGCATTTTGTTTCAGGTTAAAGAATATCTAAAAACACCTTTCTTTTTTTCACACACTACAGTTTCACTTTACAAGCAGTATTTCAAATACATAACCCTTTACTTCTTTAATGGAGCAAAGCAGATTTTTTTCAGTTCAGTTACAGTATTTTAACTGCAATCATGACATTTTCAAATCTATCCATCCATTTACACAGGTTATCAGATTGTTTTAGTACCAGACTGAGAAAAAAGTGCATCAAGTCAGCCAACTTCTGCCTGAGTTGTTAATTTAATTCTCTTGAGTGTAAAAATGCAATATATTTTTTGCAATGATTCTGTATAATGATTATAGTAGTTTAGAATTTTTTTTCTAGCTTATGAGTCCAGACTATGAATATGTCCATATTTGCCTTAATAACAAAACTATATTTATTTTACCTGTGAATCTATAATATTGTTGTGTAAAAAATATATGTTATTTTTAAACTTTCCTTGTTTGTTGTCTGTTCATGTATAGGAGAGAACACTTACAGGTATAACATCACAGAAAAGAACATATACACCATGTCCAGACAACTTTGGCCATGAACACTGTATACAGACCCCGGGGTCAAAAAAACTGGTGCAGAAAAAACGCAGCGTGCTGCTGCTACTTCTCCCTGGGGAACCAAACATCCGTGCTTGTCCGGACATGGCCATATAGTCTATTCAATGTGGGCCAACCTTTTTTGGTAGGAGTTCCAGAAATGAACCCTGCATCCTCCCCAAGTGCCACCCTGATCCCCTCCCCCAGCCCAATCTGCTGCTTTCTGCTCCCTGCCCAATCTGCCACTGTGCTGCCTGCTGTTACATGCCAGTACAACCATTGCATCTTCATGCATGTACTGTAATTTACATGTACATACTAGATAGCTGTGACCCTGGCCATCTCTAGAAGCAATCACAAATGCCTCAAAAGCTTCCCCAAAGTCTTTAGGAGCACACAAATGAGTTTGCATGCACAAATGTGAGAATTTTTTTGAGGAGCACATCTGTTGTGACTTGCTTTGAAATTTTAGTTCTGTGCCTTACATTTGTATCATTTGAAAAAACAGAACGTCATTGAATTCCAGGTCATGAAGAGTCCATTCCTTCAGTGCTTACTCAAGGAAAACTCACATTTTATACAATGGACGTTTGTTAGAGTAAGGTCACAAGATCAGTACTAAACTAAAGAAAATAAGAAATAGCAAGCAGCTTGCATTTCATGTATCTTTTCCGTTTCTTATCATACCGTAAGAAACAATAGTTTAACTCTCTTCATGCTTGTATATTTTTCTTCTTCTATGGCATTCTGTCAATTCAAAGTTACTGACTGGATCATCTAATTCATTTACTGTCTTTTCTCTTCCTGCAAATTTGTAAAGACAACATGTTTAGCAGCACTGTGCTACTTTATAGATTATTTTTTAAAAAATTAGTTTACTTCTTTTCTTATCATCAAGTACTTGAGCCTTCTTCTCTTTCTAATGAGAATGTTGGAACATCGCACTTTCTGCTTCCCAACTTCTTTATTTTCCTTGCTTCTTGCTGCCTCTATCACAGGCCTTTCTCTACCTCACCACCTCCTCTTTCCCATTTTACACACAAGTGTCTGGAATATGAATGCCAAAACAAACAGATATACAAACTTTTCTCAGAACATTACTGTGTCTATTTTAATAGATGACTTATGTATATGTGGTAAAGTTGTGTGGGGGAAATATAAAGAATTTTCACACTTTCAGGAATCTTATATAATGTTGATATTTTTAGGAATCCAAATGATATGTTTAAGCACACTGCTTCACAGTATAACTTCTACTTTTGTTTGAATTTTACTTGTCTGTTTTTCAGTAATAATATCAAAAGCTACTATAAATGTTATTCACATTGCAGGATGTGAAAAAAAATCCAAAATTCATCTTCACAGTAGTACTCATGAATATGTAAGGGGTTTATATTTCCACTAATATAAAGGAAAATTTTATTGCTGTTGATGTACATGACAAGTTCTCGGTTGCAAATTTAAGTTGGCTTAAACGGTGTTTTGTTCACAGAATACATTATTTGGATACAGTAGCTATATGAAGAGCCAATGCTGATTACGAAGACAGCATTACACCATTAAAGGAGGTAAGTTCACAAGTGTAATTTCAGACAAAGCGATGGCAATAGGGAAGAAAAGGGGGGAAAACAAGCTTTAATTCAGGCATTTGCAAACTATTTTCTGCAGAAAGGATTTCCTTCTATTTTCTGAATAAAATATTTTTATTTTACAGATGGAAGAGACATGGCCTGGAAAATATTAATAGAGTTGTGATTTGGGCTTGTTATGACACAGCAATATGAAGGGATGATTTTAT